AGGCAGCTCCAGGGGCCTCCCTGCCCAGGCCCAGCAGGCTGTCACACAGAAGACCAACCAAAAGCAGGGAGAACAAAGCCCAGAGGCGATTTCCCTCTTCCAGCTCTATCTCTGGGACAGGCCGGGGCAGGCGGGTTGGGAGGATGCAGGTGCCAGTGGCAAGATGGGAATCCTGGATCCTTCTCCCTTGACAAGGAACCTTGGAAATGCTCTCAAGGCAGCTTCTCCCCAAACCCCTCAGGACCCCCCTGATGCCCCTCCCCCTCCTCAGGGGGTAGCCTCAGTGATAGGACTTGAGCTCTGCCTCTCCCTCCCCCAAAACTCCCTGTCCCCAGATAATTGCCCCCGACAATGCCTGAAATGCCATCAGTAGCAGCCATCCTTATAGGTTCAGCTGGTTCTGTTCTTAATCTAATTTATCAGGTCTCATTCCCTCTGCCAAGAGAAGGACTGGGCAAGTGAGGGCAAAGCCAGAGAGAGACCAGAGAAGGAAAAGATTGCTGGGCGGAGTCAGCGAACACAAAAGCCAAATGACAGGCCCAGGGCAGTGCCTGGTCAGCTGCCACCAGCCCCAGGTCCTGGTGGGGAGACCTAGTTTCCTTCCTCAGGGGCCCCTGAGTCCCCAGCATCAGCCATTGTGAGCTGTGAACCCAAGGTGCATGCCTTTACTCTTGGCCTCAGTGTCACCCTCTGTGAAATGGGACACCAGCACCAATGGCAGGCACAGTGTTAGGATGGGATGCTATCACATCCATGGCCATGCCAGGCACACAGTAGGTGCTTGAGAGATGGCTGGTCGGATCACTGCAGTCCAATCACCCATGTGGCTGGAGGCAGGCTTTACTGACAGGGAAAGCCTCCCTGTCAAATCGTTCAGGCTTTCCAGCCGTTCCTAATAAGTGTGTGCATGTGTGTCTCTCCATGTGTCTGCTTAAGGCGGGTGTGCGGGTCCCCGTGAATGTTTGGGTGGAGGGATGAGAGTCAGCTGACCCCATGCCCCACCCAGGCTGCAGCCTCCACAGTTGGAAGGAGACCAGCTGCCTGGTCAACTGTGGGCTTAGCCCGATCCTTACTCTTAACAGCCGTGTGTGATTACTAACATTGGCTGCTATGGTTTACTGAGCATTCACTGAGCCAGGCCTGGGGCTGGGCCTATCACGCACATTTGACTTC